GTGACCGGAGCCGAAAAAGCGACCCGTTAACCGACTTGTTGTTGGTGGCCGGGGCAGAGAAAGCGACCCGGTGACCGACCGCTCGTTGGTGACCGGGACCGATAAAGCAACCCTGTGACCAACCGGTCGTAGGTGGCCGGGGCTGAAAGAGCGACCCGGTGACCGACTGGTAGTGGGTGGCCAAGGCTGAAAAACTGACCCGGTTACCAAACGGTTGCCGGTGGGTGGGGCCAAAAAAGCGACCCTGTGACCGACCAGTTCTTGGTAGGCGGGGCCGAAAAAGTGACCCAGTGACTGACCCATTAAGGGTGGGCAGGACTGAAAAATCGACCTTGTGACCATCCGGTTCTTGTTGGGCGGGGTCGAAAAAGCAAACCGGTGACCAACCGTTTGGGTGGGCGGGGCTGAAAAAGCAACCCTGTGACCGACTGGTTGTCGGTCAGCAAGGCCGAAAAAGCCACCCTGTGACCGACCGGTTGCGGGTGGATGGGGCCGAAAAAGTGACGTGGTGACCGACCAGTTGTGGGTGGCAGGGCTGAAAAAGCGACTTGGTGACCGACCGTTTGCTATTGGCCGGGGGCGAAAAAGAGATCCTGTGACTGACCAGTTGTGGGTGGGTGGGGCCGAGAAAGCAGCTCTCTGACCAACCAGTTCTTGGTGGGCAGGGCCGAAAAAGCGACCCGGTGACTGAGTGGTTGTGAGTGGCCTGGGCCGAAAAATCGACCCAGTGACCTGCCGGCCGTAGGTGGCAGGGGCCGAAAAAGTGACCTGGTGACCGACCAGTCGTGGGTGGCCGGGGCTGAAAAAGTGACCCTGTGACTGACCAGTTGTGGGAGAGCAGGGCCAAAAAACGACCTGGTGCCTGATCGGTTCTCAGTGGGTGGGCCGAAAAAACAACCCAGTGACCGACCGGTCGTGGATGGCCAGGGCCGAAAAACATACCCCGGGACCGACTGGTTGTCAGTGGCCAGGACCGAAAAAGCGACCCGGTCACCAACAGGTTGTGGGTGGCAAGGGCCAAAAGAGCGACCTGGTGACCGACTGGTCATGGGTATGCGGGGCTGAGAAAGTGACCCGGTGACCAACCAGTCGTTGGTGAGCAGGGCCAAAAAAGAAACATGGTGACCGACCAGTCATTGGTTGCCGGGGTCGAAAAAGTGACTCGGTGACTGACCACTCATTGGTGACGGCGGCCGAAAATGCGACCCTGTGACCATCTGGTTGTTGGTGGCCGGGGAGGAAAAAGCGACCTGGTGATCAACAGGTTGTGGGTGGCCAGGGCCGAAAGAGCTACCCGGTGACCGACTGGTCGTGGATGGGCGGGGCTGAAAAAGCTATCCGCTTACCGACTGGTTTTTGGAGGCCGGGGCCGAGAAATTGACCCGGGACGGACTGGTTGTGGTTGACCGGGGCAGAATAAGCCACCCGGTGACCGACCGGCTGTAGGTGGCAGGAGCCAAAAAAGCGACCCGGTGACCGACTGGTTGTGAGTGGGCGGGGCCGAAAAACCGACCCGGTGACCTACCAGCTGTAGGAGGCGGGGGCTAAAAATGCGATCCGGTGACCAACCGGTTGTTTGTAGGTGGGGTCGAAAAAGAGACCCTGTGACCAATGGGTCGTGGGTGGCGGGGCCAGAAAAGCAACTCTGTGACTGACCGGTTCTCAGTGGCTGGGGCCGAAAACGCAACTCAGTGAGCGACCGGTCATAGGTGGCCAGGGCCGGAAAAGCTACCTGGTGACCGAGTGGTTGTCGGTGGCCTAGGAGGAAAAAGAAACCCGGTGACCGACCGGTTGTGGGTGGGCGGGGACGAAAAAGCGACTTGGTAACCGACCATTTGCCAGTGACCGGGGCCGAAAGAGTGATCCTGTGACTGACCGGTTGCGGGTGAGCAGGGCCAAAAAAGCGACCCGCTGCCTGACCGGTTCTCGGGGGGGGGGGCCGAAAAAGCGACCCGGCCCCCGACAGGTCATGGGTGGCCGGGGCCAAAAAAACTACCTGGTAACCGACTGGTTCTCGGTGGCCTGGGCGGAAAAAGAAACCCGGTGACCGACTGGTTGTCGGTGGCAGGGCCAAAAAAGCGACCCGATGACCGAGCGGTTGTGGGTGGCCGGGGCCGAAAAAGGGACCCAATTACCGACCGGTTGTTGGAGGACAGGGCCCAGAAATCGACCCGGGATCGACCGGTTGTGGTTGGCCGGGGCAGAATAAGCCACCTGGTGACCGACCGGTTGTTGGTGGCTGTTGCCGAAAAAGTGACCAGGTGACCAACCAGGCACAGGTGGCAGGGGCTGAAAAAGTGACTCGGTGACCGACCGGTTGTCGGTGGCCAGGGCCGAAAGAGCGATCAGGTGACCAACTGGTCGTGGGTGGCCAAGGCTGAAAAAGTGACCCGGTTACCAAACGGTTGCAGGTGGGCGGGGCCAAAAAAGCGACCCGGTGACTGACCGGTTGTTGGTAGGCAAGGCCGAAAAAATGACCTGGTGAACGACCATTTGTGGGTGGGTGGGGCCGAAAAAGCGACCCAGCGACCTACCGGTTGTGGATGGCCAGGGACAAAAAAGTGACTTGTGACTGACCGGTTGTCGGTAGGCGTGGCCGATAAAGCGACCCTGTGACCATGCGGATCTCGGTGGCTGGGACCGAAAAAGCGACCCGGTGATCAATCGGTTGAGGGTGTGCAGGGCCGAAAAAGCGACCCTGTGACCCACCATTTTGGTGGGAGGGGCCAAAAAAGTGACTTGGTAACCAACCGTTTGCCAGTAGCCGGGGCTGAGAGAACGATCCTGTGACCGACCGGTTGTGGGTGTGCAGGGCCGAAAAAGCGACCTGGTGACTGACCAGTAGTGGGTGGGCTGGGCCTAAAAAGCGACCTGGTGACCGACCGGTTCTTTGTGGGCAGGGCCGAAAAACCGACCCCGTGACCGACTGGTTGTGAGTGGCCGGGGCTGAAAATGCGGCCCTGTGACTGACTGGTTGCGGGTAAACATAGCCAAAGAAGCGACCTGGTGCCTGACCGGTTCTCGGTGGGTGGGCCAAAAAACCAACCCTGTCACCGACCGGTCATAGGTTACCAAGGCCGAAAAAGCTGCCTGGTGACCGACTTGTTCTCGGTGGCTGGGGCCGAAAAAGCAACATGGTGCCCGACCAGTTGTTGGTGGCCATTGCCAAAAAAGCGACCCGGTGACCGACCGGTTGGTGGTGACCGCAGCTGAAAAAGCGACCCTGTAACCATCCGGTTGTCGGTGGCCGGGGAGGAAAAAGCTACTCGGTGACCAACTGGTTGTGGGTGACCAGGGCCGAAAGAGCGACCCGGTGACCGACTGGTCGTGGGTGGGTGGGGTCGAAAAAGCTATCTGATTACTGACTGGTTTTTGGAGGCCGGGGCCGAGAAATTGACCCCGGACCGACCAGTTGTGGTTGGCCAGGGCAGAATAAGCCACCCGGTGACCAACCGGTTGTTGGTGGCCGGGGCCGAAAAAGCGACCAGGTGACCGACCGCTCGTCGGTGGGCGGGGCCGATAAAGCAACTTGGTGACCAACCCTTTGTCAGTGGCCGGGGCTGAAAAAGCGCCCCAGTGACCGACTGGTCGTGGGTGGCCTGGGCCAAAAAAGCGACCCTGTGACTGACCGGTTGTGGGTGAGCAGGGCCTAAAAAGCGAGCCAGTGCCTGACCGGTTCTCGGTGGGAGGGCCGAAAAAGCGACCAGGTGACCGACGGGTCGTGGGTGAGCGGGGCTGAAAAAGCTACCTGGTGACCGACTGGTGGTTGTGGGCGGGGCCGAAAATGCAACCCAGTGACCGACCGGTTGTCGGTAGGCGTGGCCGAGAAAGCGACCCGGTGACCGACTGATCACTGGTGGGCGGGCTGGGTCGGGCGAGGGCCCCGGGGACTTACCGGTGGTTGGCGGGCCCGGCTAGACCGTGGCCCCGGGGGCTGGCTGGTTGTGGGAGGGCCGGGCTGGGTGAGGGCCCCGGGGGCCGACCGGTGGTGGGCATGCGGAACCAGGCAAGGGCCCTTGGGGCCAACTGGTGGTTGGCGGGACGGGCCTGGTGAGGGTGCCGGAGGCAAAATGGTAGTGGGCAAGCCGGGCCATGCAAGGGCTCGGGGGGCCGACCGGTTGTGGGCGGGCTGGGCCGGGCGAGGGCCCTGGGGGCCGACTGGTGGTGGGTGGGCCGGGCCAGTCGAGGGCCCCGGGGGCCAACCGGTGGTTGGCAGGCCGGACCTGACGAGGGCCCCGGAGGCCGACTGGTGCTGGGCGGGCCAGGCCGGGTGAGGGCCCTAAGGGCTGACCGGTGGTGAGCGGGCCGGGCCGGGCGAGGGCCCCGGGGGCATACCAGTGGTGGGCGTGCGGGGTCGGATGAGAGCCCCAGGGGTTGACCGGTGGTGGCCCGGCGGGGCCGGACGAGGGCCCCGGCGGCTGACTGGTTGTGGGTGGGCCGGGCCTGACGAGGGCCCCAGGGGCCGACTAGTGGTGGGTAGGCTGGGCAGGGTGAGGGCCCTGGGGGCCGACCGGTGGTGGACAGGCCGGGCTAGGAGACAGCCCCGGGAGCCGACCGGTGGTGGGCAGACCTGGCGGGCCGGGCCGGACGAAGGCTCCGGGGGCCGACTGGTGATGGGCGAGACGGGCCTGGCGAGGGCCCCAAGGGCCGACCAGTGGTGGGCGGGCCGGGGCTGATGAGGGCCCTGGGGGCTGATCGGTGGTGGGCGGGCCAGGTTGGGGGAGGGCCCCGGGGGCCTGCCGTTGGTGGGTGGGCAGGGCCGGACAAGGACCCCGGGGGCCGACCAGTGGTGGGCAGGTCGGGCCATGCGAGGACCCTGGGTACCGACTGATGCTCGGCAGGCTGGACCTGACGAGGGCACCAGGGCCCCACTGTTGGTGGGTAGTCAGGGCCGAGCGAGGGGCCCTGGGGCCGACCAGTGGTGGGCGGGGCAGGCCAGACCAGGGCCCTGGGAACCGACCGGTGGTGGGTGGGTGGGGCCGGGTGAGGGGCCCGGGGACCTACTGGTGGTGCGCTGGAGGGGCCAGGCGAGGGCCCCGAGGGCTGACCAGTGATGGGCGGGTGGGACCAGGTGAGGACCCAGGGGGCTGACTGGTGGTGGGCAGGTGGGGCTGGGCGAGGGCACCGGGGGCCAACCGGTGGTGGTAGGGCGGGACTGGAAAAAGACCCCAGGGCCGACCCATGGTGGGCGGGCTGGGCCAGGCGAGGGCCCCGGGGGACCAGTGGTGGAGGCAGGTCGGGGCCAGGCAAAGGCCCCGGGTGACGACTGGTGGTGGGCGGGCAGGGCCGGGCGAGGGCCCTGGGGGCAGAGAGGTTGTGGGTAGGCGGTGCCGGGCAATGGCCCAGGGCGTCGACTGGTGGTGGGTGGACCGGGCCTGACGAGGGCCTTGGGGACCGACCAGTGGTGGGCTGACCGGGCCTGACGAAAGCCCCAGGGGCCAACCGGTGGTGGGCGGGCGGGGCCAGGCGAGGGCCCTTGGGGCCGACCGGTGTTGGACGGGCTGTCTGGGCAAGGGCCCCGGGGGCTGACCGGTGGTGGGCAGGCCGGGCTGTACGAGGGCCCCGGGGGACGACTGGTGGTGGGTGGGCCTGGCCGGACCAGGGCCTTGGGGGCTGACCAGTGGTTGCAGGGGGTGGCCAGGCCAGGGCCACTGGGGCTGACCAGTGGTCGTAGGGTGGGGCAAGGCAAGGGCCCCGGGGAATGACCCGTGCTGGGCAGGTGGGGCCGGGCAAGGGCCCCAGGGGCCGACCGGTTGTGGGCGGGCGTGGCTGGGCAAGGGCCCCGGTGGCGCAGACAGGTGGTTGGCGGGCCGGGCCAGACAGGGGCTCTGGGGGCCAACCGGTGGTGGTAGTGCGGGGCTCGGCGAGGGTCCCAGGGGCTGTCCAGTAGTGGGTGGGCCGGGGCTGGCGAGGGCCCTTGGGTCCGACTGGTAGTTAGTGGGTTGGGCTGGGCAAGGGCCCTGGGGGGTGGGCGAGCTGGGCGGGGTGAGGGCTCCGCATGCTGACCAGTGGTGGGCAGGCTGGGCCGGACCAGGGCCCCGGGGTTTGAGTGGTGGTGGGCAGGTCAGCCTGGGTGAGGGCCCTGTGGGCTGACTGGTTGTGGGTGGGCAGGGCTGGGCAAGGGCCCCTGGGGAAGATTGGTGGTGGGTGGTCGGGGTCAGGTGAGGGTCCCAGTGGTGTGCGGGGCGGGCCAGTCGAGGGCCCAAAAGGCCGACCGGTGGTGGGCAGGCCGGTCCGGACAAGGGCCCCAATGGCCGACAAGTGGTGGGCAGGTCAGGCCTGACGAAGGCCATGGGGGCTGACTGCTGGTGGGCGAACCGGGCCAGACGAGCGCCCCAGGGTCTGACCGGTTGTGGGCGGGCAGGGCCAGGTGGGGGCCCAGGGGGCCTACCGGTTGTGGGCGTGAGGGGCCGGGTGAGGGCCATGGTAAACAACTGGTGGTTTGCGGGCCAGGCCTGACGAGGGCCCTGGGGGTCGGCGGATGGTGTGCGGGCCAGGCCAGACGAGGGCCCCGGGGGCCGACCGGTGTTAGGCATGCCGGGCTGGTCGAGGGCCCCGAGGGCCGACTGGTGGTGGGCATGTCGGGACTGACGAGGGCCCTGGGGACCGACAAGTGGTTGGTGGGTAGGGCAGGACGAGGGCCCCGATGGGCGACAGGTGGTGGACTGGCCGGGCCTGACGAGGGCCCCAGTGGCCTTCCCGGCAGGAAAGAAAGGCCTGACCCCCCCCATCACCTGCCGTTGGTGCGCCACTCTCGGCACTACGTGCCCAGCCAGGGCTTGCGGGGCGGGTAACTTTGGTCTGGGAGGAATCTTCGTCCATATCCAATTTTTAACCTCAGCCAGCCCTCGGCAGCACGCAGCACCGGCCTGCGAACGACTGCCCTTCCCACCCGGAAAGAAAGGCCTCAGTCCCCCTCTCTCACCTGCCCTTGGTGCGCCACTCTCGGCACTATGTGCCCAGCCAGGGCTTGCGGGGCGGGCACCTATGCTCTGGGAGGAATCCTCATCCGTATCCAAATTTGGCCCTCGGACGGCTCCCGGAGCCGTGGCGCGCCGGCCGGCGAA